TTTTATATATATATATGTATATATAAATTTATATTATTTCTTTGTAATTTTTCATCTATAAATATGTATAAATAATATGTATAAATATTCATAAACATGTATAATCATATATGAAATATGTTTATACAGCCATCTTTTTTTGATAAAATGACTTTTTAGCAGAATTGAGAAGTTAATTTTTCTTTTTTAATTAAGTTAAGTTAAAGTTAACAATCTTGAAAATTTAATTTAAGTTAAGATATAAGTTAATTTATAATGAAATTAATTGAATTAAAAGTTAAGTTAATAAAAAAAGTAATTAAAAAGTTAAAAGTTAAAGTTTTGTTATTTTTTATTTTTTTAATTGATGATTCCAGGGTTCCAGTTTTACAAATAACGGAAATGATAAATATATACTTCATTTAGAAAATATTCTATATTTTATTTATGTTTTGTTTATATATACTGTTTAGTATATAAGATTCGATTATGAATACTGGCTTGTCGTATAACTAAAACTTCAGACACAATACGAGGAAGTAGCAATAGTAATAAAGAATAATAGATTTCAATCTATCAGAAACTAAATTGAAATACAATTTCTGACAGATTGAAATCTGGGAGTGTAATTTGAAATGAGGCAAAAATTAAATAAAAGTGAACAAATTCTAGAATATTTATAATTTCATTGGTCAATACCTAAATTTGTTCACTTTTGCAATTTTCATCTCATTTTAAGTTATCGCTATTGCCGCGTATTATATCTAAGACTTAACTTTAAAGAATTAAATAAAAAATTAATAGTTACAGATAAAATGTAACTAAAGTTAAAAAGTTAAGAGTCTAAAATGTAACTAAGTTAAATTAAAATTAACTTTTTAACTTAATTTTAAATTTTTTAACTTAGCACCCAACCCTGCTGTTTAGTCTAACAGAAATAATAATAATAATAAATAGTAATATGAAAACATTAAAAATAATTAAAAAAGTAATTTTTACATTATTTGATTAAAAAAAAAATTAAGTTAGAAGAAATGTAAAAAAAATGATTTATGTTATATATAATTATATATAAAATTATGCATAACTGTATATGAGCAATTTTTTTTACATTTTTCCAAATTTGTTTTTTTTCTAAAACGAACAATGAAAGCGAAAATCCCTTTAATTATTTTTGGTCTTTTTATATTATTATTATTTGTATTACACTAAATAGTAATTTTATCAAAGAAAGATGGATGTATATAATATGTATGGACATATTGCATATATGATTATATATATATGAATATTTATATGAATATTTATGTATGTTTATACATATTTATATGTATTCATGAAATATTTTTTACGTGATTTATATGTGTATATATGCAAATATAAATGCATTTTATGTTATATTTATAAAATACAAAATTATATTTTATATATATATATATTTTTTTTTTTATAAATGTATATATGTGTATGTATATATGCATTGATATTTAAGAGATTTATTTCTAAAAATAATTTTTAATCATCTTTTTTGACGCGTCTTCATTGCATCACGCATTTTACGCTGTGGTTTTTTAATAGACATCTAATTCGTATTCGATACGCTTGACGGAAATGATTTACGGAATTATAATTGCAATTGCCTTCGTTTTAAATACGAAACAGACACATCATTCACTCCTATAAATGAGCGATTCTAATGTAAACGGATCGCTTTTTTCTAATCGCAGAAATTTTATTTCTTACATGTTTTCAGTTCGTCGCAAAAGACTCGAATTTCTCGGTAGACTCGTGAAATAATTCAAAGTAGGAAGCATTGGAACTCGTATCCAGCAATTTTCCAGATACCGTTAGAATGTTTCTAATGAAACTATGACGGTGGTAAA